TTTGGAGGATGCTTCAGCCAGGGGAGAACATTACTGGCGATTCAGTTTACAATAGTTTGTGAATTATGATTTTTTTGGATAAACTTTTAAAATTGTAATTTGATTTGCGTTTTCAGGAATGGTATCGCAGTGCTCTGAAAGAGCTAGAGAATAAAGTAAAGCACTATCCCCCACTGGTATGCGAGAAAAAGAAGCCAGTGCCGCTGAAACAGTATACACCCAAAATTGTGAAAGTGTAAGTAAAGCAACGCTTGGTACAAAAGGAGAAGTGCATTTAAACATTAAAGATTGTCAGTAGGCTGAAAGGATTTGGAAAGGAGGATATATAAGAGAGACCATTATTTGTTTTACATAAATAGAACTGTGTTCTGATTCAGGAAGTCTGACAACAGCATGTGACCTTTCTGCCTTATAGTGGCTGCCGATTCATTTAGGCATGTTGCTTTTTATCTACAGAGACATAAACTGTCTGCTTTATTTCTTCTAGTAATATTAAGAGGCTAACTTTCTACAATGTATGCATTTATCCCCAAATAACTGATGAAATGGCAAACTGGACCTTTTCTGTAGAATTCGTCTGCCAAGGAAGCCTGCAGACATTTAAAATACGTTTGGAGATTCCATCTTTCTCCAGACGTGTTTTCAGCTTGAGACCTTGGCAATTTTGGATTTTATTCTTCTGCTCTAGGTTTCTCAGTCCGTTCCAAAAAAATGCAAGGGTATCTGTGGGGGGTTTGCAGTTTAACTGTTTTCGGGAAAATGTTATCTGCTTGTCATCTGCATGATGATGGCATGCAGTCAGAAGTTCTGGTGAGTGTTTCTCCAGTGTGTGCACTGGGGTGGCCCTTTATTTTGCAAGTTGACCACATAATATGCAGGAAGTAAAAATATTGAGTTAGCATTCATACAAAAACTCACTACTCTTGAGCATAAAAAGTTGCATTTGTTAAAGTGTTTAAGTGTTAAAGCGTTTTGTGCTCACAGATGCTTTCTCATTTCAGTTTAGAGTTTGGAAAAAAGCAGGGAGGCAGCAAGAAGGAGCAAGAAAGAAAGCGGTTGATTCACAAGCATAAGCGTGAATTTAAAGGAGCTGTTCGGGAGATTCGGAAAGATAACCAGTTTCTGGCTAGAATGCAACTTTCAGAAATCATGGAGAGGTGATGTAGTCTTTGTTTCAGCACCAGTTTGGGGGTTGTTGTTCTGTGTGTTCATTTTTTTTGCTCCGTGTCAAGATTAACAGTGATGATCAACCATACTAAATTTAAAAAATATATTTTGATAATTTGGGGAAAACAAATATATTTTGAAGTGTGTGAGACTGCAATTTAAGAGTTGTGGGGATTTTAATAAACCAATAATTCTTGTCTAAATGTACGTTTTTTCCTCAATACCATGTTTCTGAAATATTTAAATATATTTGTTTGTTTGTTTGTTTTACAGAGATGCAGCCAGAAAGAGAAAAGTGAAAGAGCTTCTTAGTAGCCTTGCTACACAGGAAGGTGAATGGAAAGCAATGAAAAGGAAAAAAAGGAAAAATTAACTGGGACTATCTGCAGAAGGAAACCTTGTTTTTACTGCCACGTAAAATATCCCAATCCTATGGCTTTTGAGTAGACTCTAGCTACATTTTTTGGATGCATTTTTTTGTATCAAATATCATCAAACATATCATCAAATCTATCTAAAGAAGTTAACTTGCTTATTAGAAAAAACCCATTATTTCATATGAAAAATAAAAATAACATTTTTATGCGTGGAATATTCCATTTATTTTAGTAACTGAGAACATTTGGATGAAGGATCAGAATTCTCACGATTGCGTGACCAGGTCTTAGTCCATCCTGAAGTACACAAAAAAGTCTGTACAGCAAAAAGCTTTTAGTATCTTTTTAATATTAAATAAGTACAAGTAGCTATCTTAATCAAAGCCTACTTGCAAAATAAGCAGTAAGATTTTAATTAGTTTGTAGCATTGGGACAGTCTAACAAGTATTCAGTGGACTAAGGGAACTGTTTTATTAAAGCTGTACTTCCATTCATTTCTTAAGTATTGTTGGATTGAGCTCAGATATGAAATCCCTAATAATGAACTAGGGCAGTTAACTTAGACTTCCTCAACTCACTCTTAACTGTCGCAAGTGACATCTTTAACTCTTTTACACTTATTTTATCACGAATGTCTAATTACTGAAAACTGCCAAGAGTGACCTTTGGAAGACATTTTTTCCAGTAGAGCCAATAAATTCTTTTAATATATTTTTTAGAATACTGTTTTTGTGAAGAAACATTGAAGTGAGACAAACAACACCACAGTTATTTAAAGTTGCTGGCCTGAACTGGGTCACTATCCAGGTATTCACTGTATTCTCCCTATTTGATAAATCCAGTGAAGGTTATTATGCATTGAAAAAATAATTGTAATATTTTCCTGGAAACCTCATAAAAATGAAGAACCCTTTAAGAATAATGTTCCAGTATTTTTAACGTTCTTTTCATCCTGCTAAGAAAAAACTACTTGGCCAAGGTTCTAACAAAAGAAAACAAAAAAAACCCTCTTGCGTTTTCAAACACTGTTCTTAGGTTTGTTCCCTGTGATTTGGCCAATTGATAACTTGGAAATGGTAACGATGGCCTACTGTTCATAAAGAAAGATTTAAACACTGGCAGTAACTCTAATTTAACAATTGGTCTTGGTTGTTTCAGACTGGCTAAGAATGTTTTCTTTGTGCTATTTTTTTCTTTCTGAAGAGATTTATAATGGAACCATGAATAAAACTAGGAGGGTATGATTTTAAAGAATTAGGGTTTACATTTAAATTCCAATGACAAAATTTTTTTGTAAGGTAAGATGTGCTAAAGGCTTACCTATATCTGTTTCTCTTTAAAAAAAAAAAAAACAAAAAAAAAACCTTTATTTGGAGTAAATGAGCTTTTACTGAGTCTCATTGTTACTGTAGCAATGCAAGTAATGCATGAATATCATCAGCCCTTTTTGCTTTTATAACTGGTTGTATTAAATATTAGAATACATTAGATTATAAGTACAGGTAAGGGAGATACTCATATCACATGAAAATTAATAAGATTTGCACGTTTGAAATCTATTCAGACTTCTGAAAACAAAATACATTTCCATTTAGCCTTTCCAAAATCAGTAGAGCTGTCCTCAGAGTCTTCAAAGAGATTTCAGTGTCAGAAGATTACCTGCTGTTTTATTTCCATTTGGCACAGCATAGGATTTTTTTCCTCCGTTGCAAAAGTGATTACCTTGATCTTTAAAAACAAAACCTTTTATATAGTTCAAGTCAAGCAGTTAAAACTGAAGCAATGAGGAAAGAAATAACTTCCCATTTTGTGCTATATATCAGCGCTCTCAATCTAGGGATTTAGTTCCAGTTTATTTCTCCTTTGTACAATTAAACTGTCAAAAGGTAGTGTTTTTTTATTTATCTGACTGTATTTTTCCAACAGCAAGTGGCTTCAGAAGTTTAACCCAACATGGTATTATAATCACCGAGAGGTTAACGGCTGTACTTTCATCTTGGGGCAGGGATTTTTGATACCACTTGCAGCTGCTTGTTATTTATTTTTTGTTTTCATTACTTTTTTTTCAACAAGTTAGTGCTGGGAAGGATAACTAAAATTTTCCATGTAATCTGAACACTGAATGGGTATAAAATACTGACTAAGATGAAGAACTCATTTTTGAAAGACTAAACCCTATATGTCATTAAATTTCTCAAATTATTAATGTTTGGGTTGAGAGGGAATACTGTTGTTCTTTTGCAGTAGAGCAGGAAAGTAAAATCTGGAGAGGGACATTACTTAATCAAAAAAAAAAAAACAAAAACCATTCAGTGATGTAAGAAAAAATTAACATTAATAAATGCAGTCCAAAAACCAAATTTAAATTTTTAATTATCAGACCAGCAAGACTCTGGACTGGCTTTCCACTGGGACAGGGTAGACAATGACTTTCTCTAGTTCTAAAAAGAGATTGTGTTTACATGCAGGATTGTATGACATGGCTGACTGCAATAACACAACTGGACTCAGTGACCTACAGAAGCTTTAGGTTGGCAGGTTTAATAACAGGAACGCCTGGATTTCTCTGAAATCTTAAAAAGTTTAATTCATGTGGTGGCTGGTAAGTTATATACAATGATTCAGGAGCAGAGGTGTACCTCTACATACATTTCCCAGACACTACAAGATTATTCATTGTTACTCTGGAGCACCTCACAACAGATTCTTCCCTCCAAGTCAGCAGTGGTCCTTACATAATCATTCAGTTTTCAGAAAAGGTTTTGCAGGAGTCTTTAATGCAGTTTACGGCATGCTCTGAGTTAGGCCCAATTAATAGTAATAGAGCTTCTAGCACAGTAGGTCTTTGCTTTTTTGAAATTTCATAGCTGGTTGCACTTCCACTGCAGTCTTGCCTGTAGCTTTTTATCTGTCCACTTGTAAGAGCCTGCTGTTTGACTCAACACCTACTTCAGATTTTGTTCTTCCAGCATGCTTTGCTTTTCTTCATCTCAACTGTAGATAAGTTTCAAGTGAAAGTTTCAAATCTCAGAGGCCCTTCGGATTTCTTCCTCGGCAAGAAGGGGATTTTAAGGAGGGCCAGACAAGTATAAAATATTCAGGGATCTATTGTTGATGCAGAATCAGCCCAGAAGTTCCTTGATGGCTAGATATATCTCAGGAGTTACAGGGTGCTGTCATTGGACTAAGTCAAAAGGGACATTAAAAAAAAAATCTGGGAATGAGATTGGGTTTGAAAATTCATAAATGAAATAGCAGAGGTGACAGGTAGGCTTCTATCTTCTTATCTGTTCTCAGCTATCACTCACATATGAAGTGGTATCAGACTAGATTGTATCAACTGGTTTGATCTCTGATAGATTTCTGTGCAGAGAGTAAATTTGCTGGATGAGCATCACGTTAAATTCTCTCTTGAAATAAGCGGTATGGATAAATCTCAGTGCCACCGTTGAGCCCACGGAGCTTAGTGAGAAAAAAAAAAAACATTGATTTAACTGGTACAAAATGAAACACATACCTATAAATTAGCATTATCAAAGCCTTCACAGTTAGGAATACAGGATATATATATATCTTAAGTACACTCTGATCAGCAGAATTCTTTTGCTCTAACTCAGAAAGCTCTTTAATTCCCCTGCAAGTCTCCCATCTACCTGTCTGTATTTCAGCTGTTAGTTTTCAATCCGAGCTGTAAATTCTTTGGAGCTGGTGCCTTCTTTTTAAGTCTCTATTCTGTCCAGTCTCATGTGCAGCGGAGCTCTGATTTGTGAGCAGGGGAGTGCAGAAGTATGCAGGTTTATAGATGCCGTATGTACCAAATGCACCGTGCATGTGCCGCATAGGCACCACATATGTACCAAATTCCTTTTCTCACACTGAACTGGCTGCATAAACGCTCAGCTAAACAAGAGGATAGCAGCTTACTGCTTGACCTACTTGGCAGGTTATCCCTGAAGTTTAGATAAGCTCCTCCACATCCAACTCGTGGGGGAATCCATGATGGACACGCTGCTGTGGAGAGAGTGTAAGGGCTTTGTCAGAGGGTTCATAAACTTAAATCCAGACCATCAACAGGACTGTATTACCTGGAAGGGAAAAAGAAGCCCTTTCAAAACCTGTATTAATTTGCTTTAAACCCTTTGTTTGCAGATCCTTATGTATTTAAGAGCGTGAGGATGGATTTCTAGTCCACTTGCAACCATGCACTGCTCTTTTAACGAGGCAGGCTGAATAGCAGACGTGGCTGGACTGCAGAGCAACGTTAGTAGCATGGATACCAAATCTATTCCCGTTCGCTGTGTTCACACGCTTGGCTTTTTCGAAGAGCAGTTTGCGTTGGGAGCAGAGCTAGTCTGCTGCAAGTACCTGCTTCTCAGCATCCAGGACATTTTTCATTTATCAAAACCACAGCTAACCGCTGCTGCGCAACGTGGTCGTGTAGCAACTAACGACGAACGTGGCTTAGTTCTTGGCACAATCATGTTCTCGTTAAGAAATTCTTTGCTATTACCACCAGAAGGAACTGCTGCAGTTTGAGGTATGATACCATTAGGCTGCTAAATCATTGATTCCTTAGGTCAGGGGCTGCCTTTTCCTCCGCGTCCGTGCCGGAGCCTGCCGCGGCGACGCTCCCCAGCGCTACGCCGAGACGCTTGGTGAGGCGCTTCCCCAAAACCCGGTTTTAAACCGCTGTGACTCTTTC